GCTAAAGCAGTAGTGATAGAGATGGCCACAGACCCCATCGAGCATTCGCCCTAGGAAATGGAATCAGGTATCATTGTGAGGAAAATACAAAAATCCTTGAACCTCAGCGGGCTTGTTTCCCACTGAGGTTCAACTATTTCTTATTGATCTCGGGTGGTTACTTGCATCTACTTATTTGGGATAACGGCCGGTGGGGCTTATGGGTCATCTCTAGCACTTGGCTTTCTACTTCTGAGTTAATTGCCTTTTCTATCACTATTTACGAAGGAGACTGTTTAACAGGCTTTTCAAAGTACCAACGAATCAGAGAAATGACAACAAATTTATTGCCTTTATATTTACCCCAAGGTATCTGGCTGTCCCTCTTGATGCGTGATTCGCAGTTTCTGCATTTCTCAACACCTACATATCGGAAAAGGAAATATCACCTTAAAGCGCCGATTACATAAAGAACTGCATCCTGGTTAGCCAGCCTAAGATTTTAAGCTCCGCTTCCGGTAAAAATCCTTTTAAAAAGACGAGTGTGATTACATAAAGAGAGTTTTAGTGAGTCAGAACTGTCAGTATTTTAGCTAGTTTTAAACACAGGCGCCGGCATACAAGAGCATATTTTAGGCCAGGCTGAATTTTCAAATAGGGTTTACACTGGCTAGAAATAAGATAAGAGCTTCACTGGTGGGACCACGGAAAGAACGATCACAAAGAGTAAACAAGAAGAAAAATGCGCTGGTAACGAACGCATTCTAACTATTCAGTATACTCACTTGTGTTCTCAAAGTGAGGCCAGTCTTGAAAAATGATGGCGTCGCTGAGAATATGAGCTGTTACTGAAGCTGCCATTAAACTTGCAAATGGCCTCCAAGACGTCTCCATAGATTTGGTGCCACCCGCATAATCCGAAATCCCTTTAATGACGATCCACTCAATGTCGAGGTCGTGAGCTGCAGCAAACACGCCTTAAAATAGAGATTAGTCGTAAATGAAGCAGTAATATATTCTCACCCGGAACACCCCACACAAAGCCAAATGAGCCTAAATGCATAAGATATGGGAGAATCGTCCCGAGGCTTGCGAGTCGGTGGACCAGGAGAGAATACGAGGTATGCCCCATCGCTGCGGGGAGGAGCTCGAGGGTGGGGCGAGAACTGCTATCGAGGGTGCCGAGACCTTAACTTTACTAGAACTGGCTGAATAATAAAGCAGGGTGCTGTTAAAACTGAGAGACAAGGTATGTGGGTCTGCCGTGTATTCCCCCGAGCCACGCTGAAAATTTGAGGAAATGCATTGATGCTAAACTCGGGCTTGTTTCCGCTTCGCGCTGATTGGCGGAAATCTGACAGCTCAGCCGACGGGGAGTCACACGACAGGGGAATTGGAGGTGGAATTCAAAATCCAGAGACGTAGTGGCAAGCACTCCTTCCCTTTTCCCGTCCCGCAGCCAGAGCGCCCCGGAGTGCCTGCTCTCAGGCTAACTTAAACAGTAATTGTAGGAAGTTTTTGGTCAATTATAGGACTTTTATAGGATCCTATAAAATAAATAGGAAAAACAGGATTTTTATGAAGGCTGGGATGTATGCGAGATACAAAGATGGACGGTTTCGCCACAAAAAAACTGGGTCGAGCCACCTTAACTAAAGGTCTCTAACAAGGAATTAATTCCAAGGTCGTACACAATTTCATTTTACTAACCGAGTTCTTGAACACTCTGTTAAAATACGAACTGGCGAAACTCGCTTACCTTCACCTTCTCTTTCTATAGCGACCACTTCTGGAAATCTTTCGATGAGTGCTTCACATCGTTTTCTATCAATAACTTCCTCAGGTCCACTCAGAAACGCGCCACGATGTATCTCCACTTCGCGTGCGTTTAAATCTTTCAAAGGTGGCTGCCAGCCGTCACCAGCCCTTAACATCACCTTCAAAAAACCGGACTTCAATGGAACTTTAACTCCGCGTTCTTCAATGCCATTCTCTGTGATTTTGCACGGGCCATATGTTATTAACTTCTCTAAAACTACTACGTCTCCAAGTTTAACTTTATTACAGTCTAAGCTCCTACAGGAACCCACACAAAAAACTGCTTTGGGCCTCAAGACTTTCACAGCGTTTAATACAACAACCATGGATCCCCCTGCAGAGGCGGAACCCTTGTAGCAGTTCATTACAGCAACGTTTAGCTTCCTTTCATCTTTTCCCATATCTCCGAGGTACACGTAACCAAGATCTCTGTGAAAATTCCTACAAAAACCGGGATTCAGATATGACAGACAGCTTAGAAATTCACAGTCCTCGACTGTCAGTAACAAAATGTCCACGGGTAGGCGTCGGGAATCAAGATGTGTCGCTTTCTTCGGAAGATCCGGATTCCTAAGCTGATTAATGATGACTTCTGGTGGATCAGAGGCAGATCTTTCCGATGCAGTTTCTGTAAAAAAAAAAAACAAACAAACAGACAAAAAAAAAACAATGAGTATTGTTAGAATGATTTACGATAATGTTGTTACTAAACAGTCAAAATTGTATAAATAAATAGTCGCGTTTGTTGAAAAAACATCTTTATTAACTACATTGCGCATGGACGAGTAGAACAATAGTTACGAAAGATACTTCACATCGAACGGTTTCAACATTTGGAGACAAAAAACGTTACGGCAATTTTGTGACAAAGTTTAGTTGAGTTCAGACTCCATTTTCGTTTTGCTCAGTAAAAAAAATGCCAGGGAACAAAAAAAAAGCTGCCAAAACTCGGCCTACTCTCCGGTTATGACGAAATTCAAACGGCTTTAAACTCTTCCCAGTATCTTGCAACAATGTCGAAAGGGGTGTTAAACAGTCGCAACTTCCGCTAAGACCGTTGTCACAACATTACGTGCTGCGTAGCACTTGGGGCAGATTGAAAGAATTAACGTCGTAAGATTTAGCCAAGGCATACTTAAACTCTCGCCATTGTTTTTGTTTTTGCTTTGTAAAAGTCTCGCACGTAAATAAATAAAGAAATAAATAAATGCAAATCATGGGAGTGCATTCGACAGGGAGGGGTGATGAGGCAAAGGGAGAGGGAAGTAAATGTTTCCATATTCTTTTGCTTTTTGATTCACTAACTACAATCAAAACTCCACGCTAAAAATGAATGACAAGAAACCTTAAAAACACAAAATAATACAAAACAGATTGCAGAGGTTAATGTTAACCCTCAGTCATAAGCTGATGTGGCTTATCTAAAATACAGCGTGCCGAACATGTTGTTGACATAATACCAGGATATCTGATTATCTTAGAATGCAGCATTTTTTATGAAAGGGAACTGAAATAAATGGGATCGAGGTGAAATGTGCCAGCCAGACAGTCCAAGATGGCTACAAACCGTAAATTCATTTGGCATCAGAGCTACACCGTAAATCCCGCGGGAAAAAACTACTCGAATACTAGTATGCGGGTTTTTTTTTTAAGTTAAATAATTTCTAACTAGCCGCATTTTTCCTTCAACACTACATCGGCTTGTTTTCGACGACACCTGTACACTGTGTACCATGATATCAACAACAACAGAAGCAACAACAATAAATGGGCTTACCTTCCTTTGGAGTTATGTGGTGCTCTCCGTTGTTGTCAAGTGGAGTCATATCTTGCTGCTGTAAAGATACAAATAAAGAAAATGACTTCAATTCATAAGAACTACGAATTATGGCTTCGGGAATGCACCTCCAGTCAAGCCTCTATCAAATTCCAAACAATGATCTTAGATGTTTCCCCTTCTCCGGCTGTCTATCGTTTTCAAATACAGTGGAACATCTATTCAGGGAACACCCTCGCTAAGTGTCCCCTGAATAGAGGGGGTAATCTGAATGGAGTTTGTTAATAATTAACCAACAAATAAAACACTTTCGTTACAGTCGAAAAAGGCGTCTGCTCTCACAGGCTACGCAATCTACTGCAGTCATTATTTCAAGCAGCTAGCCGATAATGTATTAAACATCATAATTAACTTATCTCTGCGATGTTGTGTTTTGAATTCCCACCAGTGCAGTAAATCGATTTAAGTGAGTTAATTCATGTTTTGAAATCTTTTGCCATTTTGAACATTTAAACTTATCGACGATTTTTGTGGTCAGTCACTTTTGGATTGCTAAGGTGTCCCCTGAATGGAGGTTAAAGCCTAGTTTCGGGACCCACAAAAAGTGTCCCTTTCCCTCGAAAAGAGGTGTCTCTTCAATAACGGTAACAAATACAAAGATTATGTGAACAATTTTCCGGGAATTTTGTGTTCCCTAAATGGAGGTGTCCCAAAGGAGAGGTTCCACTGTATTAACTTACTTGTTTTACCCTTTAAAAACCCATTTGAGCATATTTAAGTATACGCAAACTACGCACTGCAAATTTTTTTTATCCTCATCACTTTTACATTACTATTGTTATCGCCATAATAATAATAATAATAATAATAATAATAATAAAAATAATAATCTGTGCAGTAAAGGAACAGGCTCTCAGGACTAATTACGTGAAACATCAAATTGATCGGACTCCTGAGTCACCGTTATGTAGAATGTGCGGTGAAAAGGTGAGAATGTGTGTCATCTACTAAGTGAGTGTAAAATGTTGGCCCAGAAGGAATATAACAGACGATACGATGTGGCGAGGATTATACATTGGAACTTGCGTGAGTGACACCAGCTTGAAAGAAAGGGAAAATGGTATGAACATGTACCAGGAGGTTTCGTGGAGATGGTGAAGTAAAGCTGCTTTGGGATATGAACATCCAATGTGTTAACGTTGTTGAAGAAAGAAGACCTGACATCATCGTAATGCGCAAGAAGGAGAAAAAACGTATAAGTGTGGACATAGCTATTCCTGGAGATAGTAGGATACATGAAAAGGAATTTGAAAAAATCGAAAAATATCAGGATTTGAAATGGGAGATTAGAAGAATGTGGGGTATAAAACACGGGGGTGTAGTACCGGTGTTTGTAGGGGCCCTTGGAAGTGTTACTAAGAAACTTGGTAAATGGATTGAAAAACTGGGGATTAGGGTTAGGATTGGACCGCTACAGAAAACTACGCTATTAGGGACGGCCAGAATTTTATATTTTAAGGAAGGTTCTTGACTTCTAAGTACCAAGAGAGTGTTCCCAGGGGACCCTTGGTTATTTGTTATGACTCGCTCCCTTGGGATGTATGTCGAAATGAGAACAGCCAGAGCTCAGAGCTAAATGGATAACAACAACAACAATAACAACAACAACAACAACAACAATAATAATAATAATAATAATCACCACCACCTACGTCTAAGATCTTAAGTACATCAGATCAGTCTTTTGTTTTGACAAAGTAAGTAAAGCTACAGTGTACATTCTTAGCGGCATTTATACTCTTAGGTTATTCCGAAAAAAAAACAGTAATGGTAATTTTATGCAACTGAAATAAGCCAAGCGTGTCTCAGGAAACTAATTTTTCAGGAACCAACCTGACTGGGTGGAATCCTGCTTCCTTGGGCTTCTGACAGTTCAAACCAGTGTTCAAATGTGTTAATATTAATTGTAGGATCTCCACGAATGCCAGGCTTGTTGCAATACGGACGATAACGTAACTCGAACTCTGACAACCAGTGCAAGCACTCGCAACCACGCACATCATGAGCACGGCATCTGCTATCTTTTTGAGAACACACAGGGCAGCAGAAGCACATTTCGTACTTCATGTGCTTTAACCAGAATGAATCCTTACGAATGTCTTCAAGAAGACATTTCAGCTGCGAGTAAATGGCTCGGCTTGTATTCAGATCACGCGTATCACCTCCATCGTGAAAAACGATTTCGATAGACGAAGAATACAACATGATGACGATGGAAATTGCACGATCAGGAATAATGTGAAACATAGCAAAATTATTGAACAATTCAGGATTGATCTCGCTCTTCCATTCCTCTTGACAAAACCGATGAAACCGCAAGACAAATCGCGAGAACAAGCCTGGGGGCACTCTCTCTGAATTGAACACAACAAAAAGTGAAGGAATCCGTACACAATTAAGATGCTCAAGGACATCCTCCGTAGGGGGAGACATTAACATGGATGGTACAAGGTACTGCTTGGTGGTTCCGTCTGATGGCCATGGACAAAGCAGATGAAATCTCTCCATTATTGAAATGAGGCTACTCTTGTAGGGTGGTTCTTGCTTATCCAGCAAATCCCTCCATGCATGATCTAAAAGCTTTTCATCCAAGATACCATTTTTCTCCAAATTACACCATAGTTGTTCAAAGTTTTCATCCACGTCCTGCCAACTTTTAACGGTGATAACCTCCTTGAACACGTCTATGAGCCACTGCGGGCTCAAAATGACCATGTTTTCCAATTCTGGTGATTCAGTAAAATGGATCAAAACTCTCTGATCGTGTAAAAAGTTTAAAAGAGTTCGAAATTGCTCATCGTCGTCAATTCCACATTCTTCTTTAGCAATCTGTCTTGCTTTCTCAATGGGTAGCCATTTATAGCCCTCCTTGCTCAAGAGATGGAGTACCTTTTCATACTTCAACCACTTCAGTGGAATGGCTTCGTTTACTTGTGGAAGCATCTTGGCAAAAGAAAGTACTTTTTGTCTTAGTTTAATTACACCTTGACACTCATCACCATTTCCTGACTTGGTATTGTCTACAACAAAAAGGCCTTTAAGAAGTTTTCCATAAACTTTGTCTTTTAGGGAACCATAGATTTCACTAGCGAGATCTCCAGGGTTCACATCAGTACGGTAGGGCTTGTCAGCATGTGTACACACCAAGAACACCGGAGGTAACATTTCAGGTGACAGAGTTTCCTGGCGATTAGTATTTGGACTAACCAAAGAATAGACTGATGACATCCAAAAATTAAGACAGTCGAGATTTGTTTTGCTACAGCAAGTGTCTTCTTTTTTCCCAGACACGCTTTTCCTCGTAAGGGCGTTAGCCTTCAGTGATGGATCATGACTCAGATTACAGGTCAAAATATAGATGGCCTTTTTTGTGAGAAAAATTGGATGGGTATCATAGTAAACAGACTGTCCTCCAAAATCCCAAATGACGGAATATATGTCGTCTTCATCGCTATTCAGTTTAAGCAGCCTCTGAACCAATGTCACTATTTCTTCAGGCAGCTTTGGCACACGCAAATGATCTTGGGAGTTTTGAAGTGTCGGTTCCGTCACTTTAGCTCTAGGTTCCTTTGCTGAATCGGCTTTGGCTTTCTCGTCTGGTTTAAAGTCTCGAGGAGACTGATCGCTCATAGCGCTCTCCATTACATTGGACGACTCGGTCCCGCTGTCGCTCGGGCTCCGTGAATAGTCTTCAGCATTAGGGGTGTTTGTTTCTTTTTTCATTAAGCTTTCAACTATCGACTGGGCTGCCTGGTGCTCAAATGAAAACGTTGGCTCTGATTCGCTATCTTTGCTATTCTTGCCTGTCCTCCAAACGTCTGTCGAGACTTTAAAATAGGATGGATCTGTCTCTATTCCTTTCGTGCTTCCTTCATTTGGATTGAAAAATTCCCCTTTCAAAGACCTCTTTAGACTGGTTTTCCCTGTTCGTTCCTGCCCAATTATCATGACTGGCACTCTTCTTACGTAACCTTTTCCATCCAGAAGGGCTCTGTTGTAGGCTTTTGTCGCCCGGGGACCTCGGGCTGGAATCTCCGACGGAACTGAACGTTTAAAATAAAACAACATTATTAAATGAAAAATGTTTGCATTTAAAGAAACTTAAATAACTGGAGCTATAAAAAAACCACCTTCCAAACCAAAGTTACGGAAAGAGTTTTTAAAAAGTATCACTTTTAAAACAACAAACCACATATCTCAATTTCATATTGACAAAGGGAACATGAAAATGACATAAAAATAAATCGGCATACGTCTAATTAATATGGGAAGAAAAGTAGAGAAACTCTAATATCTAGTCTACTCTATAACAATAAATATCATACAGATAGAACTAGTATAAATGATTAGGAAAACTAAATGTACGTATTAACTACTGGATGCCCCGCTCCCGTCGATCTGATTAAGGCATTTTTCGCAAAGTGCTTCAAAGATGCTACTGATCAATAGGTAGTCCTTGTTCCAGAGGAATTAAACGTCTAATTATCAAGGAAAACATAGGTATTCTTTATAATGTTTGAAAATAGCCTTATCGACACAACTTTAGCTATGTACTGTTATCAAAATAAACGCAATGTTTCAAATACCGTAAAATTCCGAAAATAAGCCCCGGAGCTTATATTTTTCAAAGGCCCTTTTTGAGGGGCTTATTTTTTGAGCTGATTATATTCGAAGGGACTTATGTACGGAGGGAAATTTGGGTTATAAAGTCGGTTGGGCTAGCTTGTGGTGGAAAAGAAATTTACCATATTTGCTTTGTTTTACTTTGTATTTATTCGAGGGCTCTCAATAATTTTGAGAAAGTGCACCCCGGGATGACGGGGTGGTAAGATTGCATGTAAAGGAGGGTTATTATTTTACCCCACCTAAGCAGGTTACCTCACCTACCTGGGGTCCCCCACCTTTATGTAAACAGGCCCTAATTCAAAGTTAGAGCACTGTCCGTATTCTTGTCTCGGTGGCAAAGAAAGTAAATCAAGGGAAACACAACAATTAATTTTTTTATTAGATTGCCAGTTATCTGGTCTTATCTCTAAATCTTCTTGTTTTATAGATCTTTCTTCCCTGAATACAAATTGAAATTCACCTAAAATTGTATATTTTTCGATTAAGTTGTAACTATAGTGTATATGGACTACTTTTTTAAAAAGTTCTGAGTGAAAGCGGAAAAGGTTGATATTGACCGAGAGTTAGCAAGTGTAGTGATACCGCCAACGCTATCAACGAGTTTGATTTGTGAATATATGTCTAAAATACTGTAAAATTCCGAAAATAAGCCCCTCCATGTATAAGTCCCTCCAAATATAAGCCCCTCAAAATCGTAACGCAAAAAACCCTCCGTTCAAGCGCCTCTCCGAATATAAGCCCCCCGGGGGGCTTGTACTAAGCAAGTAACAAGAAAAATGCTGGCAAGCTACGTGTTTTGAACATTAGTGCTCTTCTACACTCACTTGCTGCTCTTACTGCAACCTTCAGTGCTGTGGCTTTCTGAAAATGATGGAAAGCCCCCGCCAAAGTGAATTTTACGCAAATTTGATGTATCAGGAATCCTACCCCGACTAGGCAGGTACCCCACCTTGAAACGTTTACATGCCAAAATTAGACCCCGGTCCGGCAGACCGGGCTACCGACCTTGGCGGGTCACCCCACCCATGATGTAAACGTGATCAAATTATATGGAGAGGCGGGTTACCCCACCTAAGCCGGTTACCTCACCTACCTGGGGTCCCCCACCACCATGTAAACAGGCCCTTTTTTACACAGAGGTTGGGAACCCCTGGTAGGTGAAGTAACCCGCTTAGGTGGCGCAAAAACATAACCTTCCTTTATATGCAATGTTACAACCCCGCCATCCCGGGGTGCACTTTCTCAAGACTATTGAATGGTCGCTAAGTACGTAAACAAGAAAAATGCTGGCAAACCACGTGTTTTGGTGATTAATGCTCTTCTACACTCACTTGCTGCTCTTGCTGAAACCTTCAGTGATGTGGCTCTCCATTGTTAACTTAAATAAAGATGCAAAGCCACCGCCAAAGTGAACTTTGCGCGAATTTGATGTATCGCAGATCCGATCCCGGCTAGGCGGGTTACCCCACCTTGAAACGTTTACATGGCAAAATTTGACCCCGGCTGAGAGGGTAACCCGGTCTGGCAGACCGGGCTGCCTGCCTTGACGGGTCACCCCTCCTGTCATGTAAACGTGATCAAATTAAAATGAGAGATTATATGGACAGGCGGGTTACCCCACCTTATAGGGTTACCTCACCTACCTGGGGTCCCCCACCTCCATGTAAACAGGCCCTTAGTAGTCGTGTAATGCTAAGCGGCGAAGGCAACGAGAACGGCGAAAAAAAAAAGGTCTAATTAGCAAAAAAGCAACTTTGCACGGGCAGCACATTTTTTTCTTTGTACATTTCGCTGCCGTTGTTTTGCACAACTACAACGTGAAACTTCAAGAAACTTCCCGGTTACGCGTTTTATGGAGTAAATGTCGTACGTGTTCTTGTTCACTTTTTTTTTCACTGAAGCTCATTTTCACCTTGGACATTTTCACCTAGCATTTCTTATTTTCTCACCGCCGCTAAAAAATTTTCATGTTGTTCTTCCAACAAAAAATGTCTCAAAAAATATAAAACTGTTCTAGTGAGGCTACAAACTGCTGTTTAAAAAAGGTAAAATCCAAAATCCAAGCTTTCGATCGCCGATCAACAGCATCATCAGCGATGAGAAAATATTCCGCGCGCGCGATATATATGTAAAGAAGGTGTAGGGTGAAATCTGTAAAAGATGTGACGTGTGTATGAAAGCTATAGAAATAAACTGTAAATGGAGTACAACGCTCTAATGATGGAATTTCTCTAGACAAAGGACCTATAAAAATGCTTAAGAATAGTCTCTAAAATACTGAAATAGAGGGTCTGCGAATTCACTGTCTCCCGGGAATTGAGTGTAGGCTTGCACTTTCTAATGTAAAATGCTTCATAAAGGCGTAGATTAGCGGGGTCGTTTTCGCTCATAATAATCTTGACCTCAATGCCTTTATAGTCTTTGTTCTGGCAGGAATAGATGTGTTTTTTTCACGGAGGAGTTTTCATTATTGAGATGTTCTTTTATGCGGTCGCAGATGAAGCGTGTCGTGCTGATCGCAGCTGTTACACGTGAGCTGGTACACTGCATTTCTTCGTAAACACAATCCGGTGTTAGAGATAGGGCATTTGTCTCTAGTGCATTTGTGCTCCGTGGATGTGTGGGATAGGGCTCACCTGAGAGCGTACGATTAGTGGGCAATGCGTATCGGGATGTTTTCTTTTCTAGAGAAAAGAAAAATAAAACCTTTGTCTTTTATCGCTCGCTCTAGCTGTCTGTCGCCCTTTTTCTCGTTGAGCTTCGCTGGCCTGTCGTCTACTTTCTCTTTTTCTCTGTCTTTCTCTTTCTCTGTATTCCAAATTTGTGGCCATGACAATTAATCTAAGCTTAATACTTTAGACAACACGGATACAGAAACAATTTCCGCTTTCGTCTTTATTGACTCTTTGGTTGTCTCTGCTTCACAAGACGCGGGTGGCTATGCGCTTTCTCGCCAAAATAACTTTGAGTTACCATACCTGTTGATTGAGTTATTTTACACTGGTATGCCTGTGGTGCGGACGGACGGTCGGGCGGGCGTACGGTCACGTGATTACCAAAATTTCTCGGATGGGTAGACTACCACATTTTCTTAGGTACAGCTGTGCGGGGCTGCGCTCGCGCGCGTGTGGAGCTCCGCTACAAACTTGTGTTGTCTGGGGTGTAACTTAAAAACTACACCTACCACTACTGCAGTCACACGTTCGTGGTCACGATACTGGATCGACCCTGAGCATCCAGCATAATGCAGCATAATACTCACATTTTAAACATGGTCAAACGTTGTACAATTCAGTTCTCAAAACTGCATGCCACTGCACGCCAATAAGAATGCGCAAAGTTGATAATAGCTTAATACATAGAGGGCCCCCAAAGTTAAATATAGATACCGTAAATCCTCTGTTAAGCCCCCCGGGGGGCTTATTTTTTTCAAGCACTTTTGAGGGGGGGGCTGATTTAATTTAGCGAAATGCTTGAACAGGAGCAAGGTTTCTCGAGGACGGACTTGTGCTTACCTGGCACTAAACTGCTTTTTCTAACAATAAGAAAATGGTACCAATTGTCCACAGAGAACTAGAGCATAAAGTTGAAAAAGTTCAGCACATGAAGTTGGAGGTCATGCGGCCGAAGACCAAAAACAATATGAATTTCCAGCCTGAATAAACCATAAATGATTAGTCCACGTTAATTGTTTGTAGAAAATAAGGATGGAAGGGAGGAGGAGGGGGCCGGGGGGACTTATTAACTTTCTTCCTCTGAAAAGGGGGTGCTTAATAGAGGATTTACGGTATGTGGATTATTTTTTGCAGTGGTAACCGTTACAATTTCAGGTTTCCTAGAATTCATAAGAGTTTTGAATTCAAATTAACTTATAGACGTAAAAGGACAAGTATTATCAATACATATTGAGCACAGCCATACCTCCTTGTGGATGGGCTTCCTCCTGTTGTTCATGATTCAAAAAAGCATCCCTTAACAGTTCGGCAGCCGATGGTCGATTTCCCTCGCGGCTGGATTACAAGAGATGAAAATACCGCGACGTGAGGATTTTCCCTTAAACATTTACGAAAGCAATGTCCGTTTAAATTTGTTTATAATTCATACAAATTTTGAATCCACCAACACACTTGCCCGTTAACAACATATTCACTCTGGAGACTGGTTAAAAGTGAAAGAAAATTCTTTTATCTGTCTGGATTTGCAAAAAGGTACCTGCAGGATCATTTAGCAACAGTCTCATTTGAGGCTTGTTCAGTACTTGACCATTTTTTTCTTATGATGTTTTCAGTACAAAAAACCCTTAAAAAGCTGCAGTAGACAAAAAAAAAACGTGTTTATAGTGCTGTTTACATCTTTCCCCATCCCCTCCCTCTCCCCTACCTATCATTTCTTAAACTTCTCTCCGTGTCATTAAGCACTATTACATTTGAAATCAGCGCGCGCGGTAGAAGTTATTTTCCGTGGTCGGGTTCATTTTCTAGATTTCTTTCTGGCCACCTGCAGCAAAGTTTTCCGGAAGGCATCATTAAGACTTATGAAGGAACAAGTCTCACGATTGGCAAAGTCTACCGTCGTACAATATGTTACCGTATTTTGTCTCATTTCGGCTAAACTAGTGAAACACTGATCTCGGGCTTGAGACGGAAAGGCATCATATTGCGAGCTTCGATGTGGGCGGTGACGAGTTTCTGGCCTGAAAAATAAGTTGTTAGGAGTCAAATCTATTCAGCGAGAGCAAAATTGATGCTGACTTCTGACCAGGTCAGAGACTTAGTTAAAAATTGTTTTGAAGGCCGGCCTCTATGTGTTCCTTTCAAAACAGCTCGTCTACATCCGGAATCTTAAATAAATCGACTGAGTCAGGAAAGTTGACATGTGATGATTTATGTGGCAAAAGTGGAGTTATTGAGCGAGAGTAATTTGATGATATTTGGTCCATATTAAGTGTGGAAACATTGTGCCTAGTTGGTTGTGGATAGTTTTATCAGTGCCGCGAACGTGGAAAATAGTGCGATTTTCTGAAGTTGTTGACAAACAGATTTCAGGTATGTCGTGGTGCTTGTGTTGTAAGAATATTGTGTACAAGCATAAAAACGCTTCGTGAGTGTTTAGTTGAAGTGATCAGTTTGTCTTAGACAACCGATTCCGGGCTCGAGAAAGGTAAATTCTAGGTCTGTTTTAGTCGGGCACCTCGCTATGAACCTCATAGTTTGCGAGACTGAAAGGTCATAATTTCTGTGCTTATAGGAGCGACCTTTCGTGTGTTTCCAGCGATTAATTTGTCCTTTTTAAGCCCTAACTAGCGACTTTCAACTGGTTTTTATGAAACTCAAGGGTCAAATTGTTAAAACGCACTTCAAATTTCTGTAGGTACCTTTTCATAAATTCAGACAGATATACATTAACAGATTTTTTAATGAAAAAAAAAACAGTTTTGATCTTGCATTTCTAAGATGGATATTCTCTAATTCTTTTAAGTGTTCTCCATTTCTTAAGCTATTTCATTAATGAAAAGAACTTTTTAAAACTTTTTTTTAATTGGTAGTAATCCCAGCGAGGTTTAAATAACAAAAGCCCTAAATTGCAAAAACCCTGAAGGATTCATCGTGCAAATCGCCCATTCCAGTGAGTTTTCAATAACAAAAGCTCTCATTTGCTCTAGAAAACAAAATCCTGCAGGATTCTGGTCGTTGTAGGTAAATTATGCTATCGTAAAAATAAACTATTGGATGCTGGGAAATATTAGAGCTTGGAAGCTTTCTTTCACCAGCAACAGAGTCAGAGTCTGAGTCTCATTCAGAAGTGCGGAGGTTTATGATCTAGTGAAAACAGAGTTCCAGTTCCCATTATCGTAACACTCTGTCCGTTACGACCCAACGAAAACTAGATTGTCGAAGTTGCAAGCAGAAGAGGACGAACCACACTCCTGGTCCCCCAGTCACAACGGATGGGAACGAGTATTTTGACTGATTTTGCTTCTGCTCTCGATTCCGATGATCTAGTTTTCCCTTCATCGCACGCAACGGAGTCATAAGCGGAGTCGTAACAAAAAGCAAACGTTTTGATCCTTGCGACTCTGATTCTATCCACTGCGATTTTTGATTTCAAAAGGTCTTTACTGCTCTGGCGAGTCTACTACAAATCCATTGGATGTTAAAAGCACCCAAAAACGTGCAAATGGGAGGGAATTAAACACCTAACTGTAGCCCTTTGAGTACTTAACATATTAAACTTATTAGTTTAATAAACTCGCCATTTAAGACGAGCGAAATGAGTAAATACATAAGTAGTGAATTAAATTAGAAAATATACAAGAATAACTTGTTCATAGAACTCAAGACATTCAAAGACACAAAGTAAAATCAATCTTTACCATGTAATAGAACTTACCAAAGACAACGCTTTAAAAATCCATATGCCAGTGACGTACAATCACTGGGTGGTTCGACTTGATAGTTTATAATCCGGAACCTTTTTTCCGTTACAGACAGATTTTCAGAGAATAAAGGTGGCTTTGCTGTTAGCATCTCCACTACTGTACAGCCAACACTCCTAAAAGCAATACAACACTTCAGAAAAAGGGACTGTTAAGTGTTATGAAGACAATAGTAATGGCGACTTCCTACTTGTTTCTCACTACAGAAATTACCACGCGTTAGCTGAGATCAGATCGTTTTTTTTTTCCCCGTTTCTTGGATTACGAATAGTGCGGCCACAAACTGACGTCAAACAAAAGAATTAGAGCAACTCACGCCTTGAGCCATGGATTGAGCATACCTAAAAATACTATACTATTATTTGAAGACAAACGCACCAGTACAACGTTGGCAAAGAGGCGGATTTTGCGTTGCTTTTTGGGCTATAAAGCCTGGCTTCCTTTTCTAGCTTGTACTGTGATAGAGGAAACCCTATAAGCTTATTATGATTAGGAAAAAAATGAAAGCATTAAGTGTTATCAGCAAAAATGCACTGACAACATCCAACATGGAAATAAAGCTATTAATTTGGCGTACCATATATCTGTACTACGTCCATATGGTTCGCCAGCGAGTTGCTCAGGGCTTGCCCAATGAAAGGAATGCGCCTGCATGTCACCGGTGTCTGTTCTCAAGTCCTGGAGAAAATCAACACAGGTACAAATCATCGCGAGCTAGAAATGGCTTGCGAGTGGCTAGCAACAAGAGCAGCAGAAAAACTGCGGAAAAACGCAGAAGCAGACTTCCCTTATTTTTGTTGAGACAAATGTCACCTCTATTTCCAGATGCTGGTAATATTTAGATTTAGCCAGGGCTAAAAGCGAAGCTCCAGTTAATAAAGTTATAATTTAAATCAAACACATTAAGGCACATTCATGTGACATTTGAGGGAAAGCCGCTAAATGACTTAAAAGAAAAATAATTTGCAAACAGTCCAAGAGTGAAAAAGTTGGAAAAGCACATCAATTTTCAGGTAACAAAATGTGGCACGTTTATCAATCAACAGTATCCATGGTTACATGTCACACCTGACTTTTTGTGTAGGTGTGATTGCTGTGGGCATGGATTTGATGCGAGGAGGTTAAATGCCCTATTGTTTGAAGGATACAGACTTACAGCAGTATATTAACAAATACAACTCTTGTTTGAAGTCAAAAAATAGAGATGCAAGTCTAAAGAGGGAACATGCCCACTATTACCAAACCCAACAGCAAATATTCACTGCTGGGAAGCTTTACTGTCACTTTGTTGTTTGTGGTCTTAATAAGCAAATTGATCTCTTCTGTGAAAAAATTTTGCCTGATGTCAGCAGATGGCACTCTGTTGTTTCCAAACTTACGCACTTCTGGAGATACTGTGTGTTACCAGAAATTCTGGGAAGGTGGTATACTCAAAAGGTCATCATCTGATCCCAATTCTGCTTGTTTTTGCAGGCTGGCAACTGGAGACACAAACCAAGCATGCCCCATTTCTACTTTTCATTTATCTTCTTTGAAAATTACAAAAGTACTTAGCAAGTGGTTTTGTCCCTGTTTGAAAAAACACCAGCAGCCACAAATGAAAAATCAAATGCAACCCATTTTGTCAAAGCGGAAAGTTTTTTATTTGCCCTGCTTAAACTTCAATTTTATGCCGAACAATGCAAAGACAACTTGGGAATTTACGGTGTGTAAATTAGGAGGAAAAACTAAACAGATCGAAAAAGTTGTTAATGGCCGAATTTATGCTAGAGACGAGTTATCCGTCTAAACGGATAATTCGTCTAATTATAAATCCGAAGACGAATTTTGACGAATAATTTGTCTAATATTTATATAGATATATAGATATATTGGGAAAATATAGAAACCAGTCCCTCTCATGTGGCAACTTCGTCAAACACCGTCTACGTCCCGTCTAATTATAAATTTGGAGACGGATAATCCGTCTGTTAGCACGTCTTGAAGACGTGCTAACAGACGAATTAGCCTCAGACGAATTTTGCCCCATAATTCGTCTTAGCACCGAATGCCAATGACTCTTTGAATACATCAGATGATGGTATTGTGATAACTGGAGTTTCAAAATGCTCTTCAGAAAAGTGAGCATCGCTTGCGAAGCTGAATGATGGGCATTACCAACTGATTTTGTCACCCAATGGTTGGCTTCATTGTGATATTATCCATGAAGTACATGTTTGTCTAGAAACATTAATCCAGATGTGGAGGGCCTACAGAGACCAACTTTGGGCTCTGTCAGAAACTTTAATCAGGTTAATAATGGTTAAATAATATTATGTGAAGCCAATACAATACTTAACAATTCTTCCTCGAGCCCGAATGGGCTCTGAGTCAATAGCCCATGAGGCCGAAGGTCGAATGGGCTATTGACTCAGATCCAACTAATTGGTCAAAAATATCGCGACAAAACAACTTCAGCTGGTAGTAGCTCAACCAATCTGAACGCAGCATTGATAATAGACCACTAGTTGGATTTTACTAAAATGCCATACATAACTTTTTCAGAGTATTAAACATCAATTGTCTCACTTATTTTCGCAAAGATATAAATATCTAACAAAAGCTGATGAGCTTACTCAAAGGGAACAACAGATGGGGAAAGATTTGTGAGGGCTGCACAAACCATGATCATTCTGTCAATAAGTGGAATCTTTCCAGTTTTCTCTGAACATGTCAAATAATTTATTGGTAGTGCTCCCTGCAGGATAGAATACTTTTGTCTCAGGAGTCCAATGATACCCTCGAAAATGTTTGTACTCTTGCAAGAAGATTTGAAGGTCGCTCTATAAAGATCTCAAAACAGTCAATAATAATGGTGGTTTTTTCCAAATGAGAACTGCAAACAAAGAGGCATTGTGTGACGGAGCTCATCTTGTTCAGGCCATCTGAGGACAGGGGAACGCCTGATATCCGTCATAGTTAACCAGGTGGAGAAGGGTCTTGAAACAGTACTAAGAGAAACCCCACACCCATAGGCAAGGTCTTGTAGAGGAACATTTGATCTTAATTTCATTAATATCATAATAAATTCTAGACAGAAAGACAAGCTTTTACTCCTTCGAGTGACGAACGGACTGATGAAAGAAAACGTTGCTTTGAGCACATTAAAACCGAGCAATCCAGTGTAAACCTCACTCTGTCGTCATGATTAGCAAAATGTTCCTCAGTAAAAGGTTACAGGACTACTTGCTTAAATAAATATTCAAATTCAGTTGTTTGAGTTTCAGCATTTTGGGTTTTTACCCTTGATTCTGGCGCTTGTATTTCAGCATCCATTATTTTCTGGTCATGACTGCCGTATAATTCTTCCTTGGTTTCTGGATCTTTGTCATCAACATTCAAAGCCTAGGCCAAGGTCTCGGCCTCGTAGAATATCTTATCAGCTGTTTCCCCTGCATCATCCAATCGTTTCACATTCTCTTCTACCTCCCTTTCTGCGATCTCTGCTCGACGTTTGCGTCTTTTGGCAGCTCTCTGAGCTCAAGCAGCTGCTTCTTCAGGATCCTTTCCATGCTGTTTTGTCCCTCCAAGATGGAGAGTAGGGACCCAGTCCTACGTTGAATCGATCCCAATCTTTCACAGCCTCTGCTGAAAAGAAATGCCGGCTGCAGACCCGATCACGTTATAAAATATCATCATCTCTACTTACCGCAGATATTCACATTCTTCTTAGCTCAGAAGTGAGATCTTCGGTGTACTCTCCTTGATTGACTACAACACGTGGGACACGAAAAAACCTTACTTTATCGACGTTAGACCGCTTCTTTCCTCTTTTCTTCCCACAGTTAATGACAAGGCAGAGGCCCATGATGAAAACAATATAAATATTACTCTAACGTCTTCTAAAAACTGTAAAATGTGCCCTAAATATTGTTGTCACGCTACTCAACGCTGTTTACGATGGAACACCAATATGGCGGATGAAGTCGGTTACCATGACGATATAGAAATTTTGGTCAAGTGAGTCAATACGCTTTATAGCTGGCTGAATTATCGCGTCCGAGGTCAGTTTGAAATCAAAATTTTATTAGTGCGGCTCAGACGCAATCAATTGAAAACTAGTAACTTGTCAGCGGATAACTTCAAAAAGTACTCGACCTCGATGGGTCGATACCCGAGCCCGCGATACGGTCAGGTGGCACTGGTCAGCAGATACCCTGTTTTGACAGGTGTCAATTGATCACAACATGGATGTGCAATATCAGGTTGCACCTGGGCTCCCAAACTACTATCTTCAGCTAGAAAATGTGAGATTAAATATTGGTTTCCCTGCGGTGCGGACGGACGGTCGGCGGTCGGTGTACTGTCACGTGATTACCAAATTTTCTAGGATCGATAGATTTTCTTGGCTATGGGGCTTCGCTCACGCGCGCGCGTAGAGCTGGGCTGTAAAACCAATAGATGTTAAAAAAATAGATTGCTTGGAGCATGCAATGGCCATATATAGTTTGTCACCTTGAAATTCCTCCGTTTTGATAATTTGTTAAGCACAATCATATAAAAATTATTTTTTGTCTCTTCTTCATTCTACAAACAGTAAAGAGCTCCATTTCTCCCATTCACTGGACACCTGTCCTTCAATTGATTAAACGTTATTATTTTAGTGCGCAAGAAGAGGAAGAATGGTTTTCTAGGACCTTTCCAAAGCATTTTGACAGCAAAGAACATGCCAAACTTTTAACCAAATTGAGTTCATTGAGGGTCTCTAGTTCATCACTAAAAGGGCTTAAGAGCTATATGCATGATCGCCCGCAGTACGTACAAAAAATTAATGGCTCTGAAATGTTTGGAATTCCTAATTCTACACACGGAGTTCCACAAGAAACCATCCAGTGGGGCGTTTACCTCAACGATTTGCCTGGTCCCAGATCGATGCTCCTTAGAATCCTAGAAAGATAGTTCCAAGTTACATCTCTCTTTCTCAGTTAGGAACATCGAGGGCGCAGGTCGACAAATAACCGACGACCTATCCAAAGAAATGTGTCTCGCGGTGGAGCCAAAACAGCCTTCTAATCGACCCGGATACAACGAAACTGCTTTTAATTGGCACCCGTCAAATGCTTTAAGCTATGCCAGCGAAATTGGATGTAAAGGTTACTTTGCTGAAGAAAAAGCTACGCCCCGTTGCTCTGCTGAAAGACCTTGGGGTGCATATGGAACCTGATTTGAGTTCTGATGAACACATACTTACTATTGCATCTTTTGCTTGTCGAGTTTACATTTCTACCGTATTAAAATAAGGCAAAAACAACTTTTAGCCAGAAACACCCTATCAAACGTCACCAATGCACTGGTCTTTACCAAACTCAAAAACAGCAGCGGGAATGTCACTGAAAAAAAGGTTTAGTAAGCAAAACACAACTTTGTTTTTGTTTATTTGTTTCTTTTTTTCCGTCTTCTGTACAGCTATGCCTAACATTACAAAAATTTAGGTCTCTCAAAAACGTAAACAGCAAGGAGTTAAATTTTACTTAATCTGTTTGATCTCGGATGTGGTCCCAACTTTTCAGTTCAAGTTAACTTCCCAACTCAAATGACTAAATGAGCTGGAGTAACCACGGAAAAGTTAGAAAGGAGGCGAAGTCAGTTTTTCAGTGAGGCTTACATTGGCGTCGCCGTTGTCGTATCGTAAGCCCCCTAACACCTTGGATTGACGCCATCTCCTTTCACAAAACTGTGAAAACCTAGACGTTTTCAACAAAATCCTTTTTAACTTTGCTATGGGAAAGTGGAATGTGTTCCAACGACTTTGTCTCGGGTTGTGGCTATTATCAGGGTTTATCCTACTGAGTAAGAATGAAATTTCAGACTATTCCAGGAATTTTTCATGGAAACGTTATTACAAGAGAGAAGGAGTTCTTGTTTTTAACAAAATATTTAGTTTCGTACCAAAACCGTTCAGAGGCCTTTATTCCTCCACCACAGGTAGGGCATTCCATGCGTTTTCGGGGGTACGTAGATTAAAGACAATTATACAGGAGTCTCTCTGGACTCTTTTAAGAAAAAAGAAATTAAAGTTCCTGGAATTCCAGTGTGAGCACAACAAACCCTACATAGTTGATCATCATTTTAAGGTGATTCCCTAGTAAAAGAACCTAACATAGATTGTAGATGAAACTTGGTACACTGATGTAACAAGTCAAGAAGATGATAAAAAGGTAATAAAAAGTGGGGGTCACCTTGCTCGTTTTGACGTCACAATGCTGACAAATATGGCTATTTTGGACCCTTTGACAAAAACCGCGCGCAGCCCAAAACTAGACAAAAAGGAAAGATTTTTTCAATGATGCATGTGGTATCGCACAGAATTTGATTTTAATGTATTGTTTATCCACTTACGTACTAGGAAAATGCCTTTTAATGCCCTTGTTTTTACTTTACGCTCCAAAGTAGAATTAAATTGGACACGCGCTATTCGACACGTGATAGCTCAATCCGTACAATTTAGTAAAATTGCCAAAAAACTGAACATAGATTTGTGCCAATTTTTTTCTCACCAAAAGGAAGTACTGTTCTTATTAAAATCATGAAATAGAAAATGGGGGTCACCGTACTGGTTTTTGCGGTAGAGCTGCAGAAAGTGCGCACCAAATGCATTTTCCTTGATTTTTGAGAAAGGAATGGGGCGAGTTTCAAAATAGAATGTATGCGGAAGGGGGAAGAAAGTATTTAAAAATCCGTTTTTACAGAATTTACATCGAGATATCACATTTAGGACACAATGTGATAAAGAAAGCGTTTACATGAAAATCAAAGTGAATAAGCACAAATTAAGCATCCACTATCGAAGTTCTCCGTGAGGAAGTCGAACTCAGCAACACGCGTACTGCTCACGTTATGCACATTCCCACCACATTGAGTCTCACCTCGGCAAGAAACAACCGCAAGCAAAAATTGCAATAGCGTTTCTCTTCGGTCAACTTCATTTTAATAATGTTACTTCACGTGCTCTTTTTTACGGAGGCCATCTTGTTATGCGCAGTGCAAAACCAGGGAATCACCTTAAGAACAAGATCTTACCTTTATTATTGTACTGTTGCCAAAGCCAGCCAGTTTTATTTTTTCCTGAGTGCCATCCAGCAAAATATTCAAGCCTGAAAGGTCCACAAAATAAACACTTCAGCCCGGAAGCAGGCCCTCCATGTCGAGTGACGAGCGAAGCGAGCCGTGAGCGTAAAAGCCGCACCTCGCTCTCGGGTCTCCTCGTATCCTGTAAGTATAGCCATTTCATCACCCCCCCCCCTTTCCTCTTTCCTCTCTGGGAGACCAGTGCGCAACCGCACTAATTTTTCTAACTAACCTTTAATATCTGCATGTATTACGTAATGCATGTGAAGAAAGTCAACCGCACTGAGAAGTTGTCTTGTGAACTTTACCACCAAAAGCTCTTCCAGAGGTCCATTGTTTATAAGCAAGTCCCCAAGAGTTCCCTGAAAGACACATTTTATTACCCTTGACAACATGTTTATGTCTTGAAAATATTAATTTATGAATAGAAATGATAGTCACGGTGACTACTTACAGTCGAACCCCGGCCAACGGCCACCTGATCACAATTGCTACCTCTCAACAAACCATCGGTCACTAAATTGTGTCCCAAGTGCTAAATTAGGGAACTTAAGAACCACGACGAAGTTCACGACGACGACGTCTGTTGACTGGGAAAAGACTGGAACGAGAACGTCGGTTTCGGCGGGAAAAAGGAAACTTACGATGCAGTCGGTCGGTAGGTCGACGACGACGACACTGAGTGTAAACACAAATGTAAAACTGTGATGTTTGGTCGCAACAAAGTTTTTCGCAATGGCGTCTTTTAAAACAATCCAAGATCTTATTTTATAAGCCGTACGTCTAATTTAATTGACGATGAAGAATTTTTTGTGTTGTCTGACCTTTTCGAGGGGGAAAACACCTGCTTTCCGTACGAAGATTATTCAACCTGAATGAGATGACTGGATCCGAGTGTCTGTCAGAGTTTAGATTTGGAAAAAGAGACATTCTGATAAGATAGCTGTTTCCATATAAGTTTATTCCCTCTATATTAAAGATATATGATTTGCCTTACCTAAATACGTACAAATAAATGTATCACTTACGAGTTCGCTCGCTCGGCCTCCACAGCTGTTGTCATTCTTCGAAGTAAAAACAATTCATTAGTCGAATTTTCAATCAGCATCGCTTGTTAGGAGAAAACAGGAACCATACCTGGATTTACGAGGATATGAAAATGCAAAGGACTTCAAAAGTCGCTTAAAACAGTGGATTTATACCTGCCGAAGCTTGTGGATTGCAGGACGACGTGATTCTACTTTTTTTGGCGTCGTCGACGACACCACGACGACGAA